TATTGTGATAGCATGAGTGCTATCTATCTTAGCAAAAATCCGGTGTTGCATTCAAGATCGAAGCATATTGATGTGAAGTATCATTGGGCCCGAGAACAATTAGAAGAGAAGCTCTTTCTACTCAAGAAAGTCCACACCGACAACAATGGATCTGATATGATGACCAAAGCCTTGCCCGTGATGAAACTTGACTCTTGTAGAAGCAAAGCGGGCATGATGGATCTTCCCACATTAGGTGGAGGGGGAGATTTGTTGACTGGGTCCACCTTATGTGGGGCCTAGCCAGCATAATACAAAACAAAAGAAAAGAAACAAAAAGTCAAAAAAAAAGAAAAGAACAAAAAGAAAGTGCTTCGTGCGTGCAAGTGTGCTCAAATAGGAGAGAGAAAAAGAAAAAGGTGAGCTTTACTGAGAGCTTTACCGAGAGCTTCACCGAGAGTGCAGGGGAGAAGCAGGAAGAAGGGGCTGAAATTTGCGGTCCCGATTCGAAGGCCAGATGTTGTCGGAATTGACTCAAATTTTAGTATGTTGTTCGTGAGACCGAGGGCTACGAGTTGATCGGTTTCGTTCGTTGAGAATCTCTTCCGAACTCTCCATTCACGGTTAGGGTTTTCTCCTCCGTTTTATGTAAATCCACCTTCGCGGTGATGAAAATGATGTTGTAATGTTGATGTTGTGCCTCTAGTGTGTGACTAGAGAAGAACTTGGTGTATCTGACTATTCTTGGTGATTAGTGGAAGTTTTTGGGGTGGTCCGTGGTTTTTCCCGCATTGGGTTTCCACGTTAAATCTTGGTGTCGTTGTTGCATTTGCCTCATTATTTCAAGGTTGAATTGCTGGAATATTGTTGGTTGTTGCTAGGATTAAGTCGATTTCGGTCGGTTCAATTGTGGGGGAGATATTGATCCTGAATTTGGTTTTGTTCTTGGTGAATTGTTGCCCGGTTCTCCCCAACATAGCCAAATGCATGAACCGTAATTGTCCATTTCATTAAGGATTTCGGCTTAAGATGTTGTTGCATTAGATAGAAAAGACCAATGTTGAGTGCATTAACTTAATAAAATAAGTTTGCTACTCATGGTGAATGAGTCAATGCAAGACTTGCTCATCGATAAAAGTATACTTGTTTGTGGAGTTAGAAGTGTGACTGGTGTCGTATGCTCCTATTGACGGGGATTTTTGTTAAATTCATGCGACTTTCGTTCTTCTGTCTCAATGGGAACCGTTCTTTTACTAATTTTCTTTTTAGGTAATCAAACCTTCATTTAATAGCGCATATGGGGAGAACATGTTCAAACGATGTTAAACCACTTGACAAGTTAAGCTTTTGGATTGGTGAAAAGCAATCTCACAATTTAGAAGCGGGTAAATATCGCGCGAGATTGAGTCATGTGACACGCTCACGTGCGGGCTTTACTTAGTAATTTGCTTTTGATTATCACTTTAGCAAATTTTTAATTCTCGCAATTCTCTAATTCTGCATCTTTAATTCTTGTACGTTTGTTAGTATCTAATTCTGCATCTCTAATTCTCATGCTTATTATGGATCTCTAACAAACCGATACTTTGGTATCTCAATCTGTATCACTAATTCATATATATTTTGGCTATAAATCTCTAATTGACGCACAAAAAATAATATAATAATGCATATTTTGGTAATAAATATTAAAAATAATTGTTTATGTGAATATAGATTCTATTTGGAAATACCTATAAATTATACGTCTAAACATATCTATTTATGATGAGGTCTTGGAAAACTTTTATAATTTAGAGGTATCTATCTTATATTGACTCGCATCTGACAAATGAATAATATTAAACTCATATTTCACAGATAGCGATGTTAAAAGATCAATCTGAATTTGACAAATTGATGCAGCCTGGTGTAGGCTACTCGAACGTTAGGATCGGGAGAGTGACTTGCACACGTGGAACAGGACGAACAGTAATTACAGTCCTGCGCAAGCTCGGGAAAATGGATGTAACTTCGTCGATACAGATCGGAATGACCTGATTCCAAAGCCAAATGAACAAAGACTTCTGGATTGATAATTTCTCTGTTTTGAGTTTTCTCAAATAAGCACTATAGAAAGGACGAAATCGGGGTGGAAGTGGACGGATGTAAATGGACAGAACAAAGGAAAAGATAGAACTTCGTTGGTTGCTCTTCTAGGCCTCCAAGGAAGTGGATAGGGCACCGATTCTTCTAGATCGATGATTGCAACTCTTCAAGGATGCAGATTTGAAAACCTCCGACTCTTCAAGGACGGAGTGAAAACTCTTCTAGGTTTTCAGGGGTACGAACTCTTCAAGGTTCAAGATAATTGCTTGATGCAAAATTTTCATTAATCAAATTTGTCTGTCGAATACATAAAGTAGATGGTCTTTTATAGCCAAAGAAAAACAAATGAAAAGACTCAAGCAAACGAAGAGACTAAAGAGCATTAAAGACCCTAGAAAGCATAAAACATTAAAGAACTTAGAAACTATAAACTAGATAAATGCCCAACGTCTTCTTGATCATCCCAAAGTATCTTTTAGGCTTCCAATGTATAGGGAAAGAGAAGGACTTTATTGTTGCGAGATGAGACTCTTGGTCTTGAATTGCGTCCCTTCGATATCTCCTCGATGGTCAAGCGTCTTGTCGAGCTCGGATGCGGGCGATCTCCTTGGTCGAGTGAGCTCGTCTTCGATGCGGGCAGCATTATCAATCGGCTTTGCATCATCCTCCCCTTCTTTAAAAGAATTCGTCCCCGAATTCATGTCATCATCAGAGGAATCACCAGCATAAGGTGTTAAATGCCGAACGTTGAAAACATCATATGTTTTCATATGAGAAGGAAGCCTTAAGCGATATGCATTGGGATTGATGCGCTCAAGAACTTCAAGAGGACCAAGCTTTCGATCACTAAGCTTGTTATAGCTTCCAACAGGATGACGCTCTGGTGGCAAGTAAGCCCAAACAAAATCTCCTGGTTCGAAGATAACTTCACGCCGCCGCTTATCGACGTCCTTTTTATAGGACTCTATCTTGCTTTCTAACCTTTGGTGCACATCTTCATGAATTGCTCTCATTTGAGAAACAATATCTTCAACATTGCCACTCGACTTTTTAGCAAAAGGAATGGGTGCAAGATCAAGAGCAGTGTTCGGCTGTTGTCCATACACGATCATGAAAAGACTATACCCAGTCGTACGGTTTACAACACAATTATATGCAAATTCGCCATGTGACAATCGTGTCTCCCAAGAGCGAGGATTTTCATCAATCATTGTCCTCAATAGATTTCCCAAGGTTCGATTGACAACTTCAGTTTGCCCATCAGTTTGGGGATGAAATACGGTACTATATTGCAGTTTAGTACCGACATTCTTCCACAATTGTCGCCAAAAATGATTGAGAAACTTTGTGTCCCGATCAGAAGTAATAGTCTTCGGAATGCCATGCAATTTATAGACTTCCTTAAAGAATAATTCAGCAATACGCGAAGCATCCATAGTTTTGCGGCAAGGAATAAAGTGCGCCATCTTTGAGAATCGATCTACAACAACAAAGATGGAATCCATACCTCTGAGAGTGCGAGGTAGTCCAAGAACAAAGTCCATAGAGATATCTTCCCAAGGTGCTTGAGAGATTGGCAAGGGCAAATAAAGGCCGATTAGTAGCATGCCCTTTTCCAGTTTGGCAGCATCGACACCTCATCACATGTCGATGTATGTCTCGTTTCAAATGAGGCCAAAAGTACTTGGCTGAAACAAGTTGCATAGTCTTGTCACGCCCAAAATGGCCGTCGCGATGAACTTCATCGATCACCCTTTGTCGAAGTGAACAATCGGTATACATAAACGGTTCCCTTTGAAAAGAAACCCATCACACTCGTGAAATCAGCAAGTTTCTTTTCTTTTGCTTCGGGCAAAATTTTGGAGAAGTAAGGATCTTCATGATACAACTCTTGGAATGATTCGAATCCAAGAACTGTTGATCACATTGTGTGGAGTAAGCTCTTCTTTCTACTAAGGCCCCGTTTGGTTCAGCATTTGGAATGCTCATTTGGGCTCTAAAGTCCCTTGGTCAAATGCAAATAGTGTTTGGCAATTTTTTTTACTCATTTTGGGGAGATGCAATTACATTTGGAATGCTCCCCAAGGGACCTTTGGCCAATGCTCCACCGGAGGTGTTTTGGGATGTTGCATTTTCGGAATGAACTTGCACTGTTCATCGACACTGTTCATCTTCCCCAGACCGAGGTTCGGCGGCCGGCGACCACCGCCTGAGGGCTAGCCCGACCCCTGCGACCACCGCCTGGGGGTCGTGCGACCCCGGTGACCGCCGCCTAGGGTCGCCGGACACTTAGGAGGTCGCTGCGTCGCTACGAGCCAAGCGTTTCTGGGTCGCGCGACCCGGGCGACCTGGTTCCGAGCGACCCCCAGGGCGGCGGTCGCCGAGTCACGCGACCACACCCGGCGGTGGTGGCCGGCGACTGGATCCGGCCGTTGGCGGTTGGCCGGCAACCAAATCTAGCCGGTGGTTTAGCTCCACATGAGCTTTTTTTTTTTAAAAAAAAAATTAGCAAAAGTCCTTTAGCCCAAGTTGATTTTAAAAAACACTTACTAAACACTACTTGCATTTCGGAAAACCTCTTTAGCCCAAAGGTATTTGCATTCCCCCAAATGCATTCCCCCAAAGTCGAGCCAAACGGGCCCTAAGAGCATCAGCAACCTGATTTTGAACTCCAGCTTTATGTTTAATGATGAAAGTGAACTCCTGAACGTATTCAGCCCATTTTGCACGCCTAGAGTTAAGCTTTTGTTGCCCTGAAATATACTTGAGAGCTTCATGATCAGTGTACAAAACAAACTCTCGATGAATAAGATATTGCCTCCAATGTTCGAGTGTGCGAAATAGTGCATAGAACTCCAGATCATAAGTGCTATAACGAAGTTTAGCACTATTCAATTTTTCGCTAAAGAAGGCAATGGGTCGACCTCCTTGACTCAGAACTCCTCCAATACCGGTACCTGACGCATCGCAATGTACTTCAAAAACAAGATCAAAATTAGGCAATGCGAGTGTCGAGGCCGTGCTCAATTTTTCTTTGAGATGCTCAAAACTTTTCTGAGCCATACACGTCCACTCAAAGACTCCTTTCTTCATGCAAGAAGTAAGTGGGGCCGCAATAGTGCTGAAGTGTGCAATAAATCGTCGATAGAAAGAAGCGAGGCCATGAAAGCTTCGTACCTCATGCACATTTGATGGAGTCGGCCAATCTCGAATCACCTTGATCTTGGCATCATCCACTGAAATGCCCTTTGCTGAAATATGAAATCCCAAGAAAAGGATTTGCGGTACCATGAAATAGCACTTCTCGAGGGCTGCATACAAGCGCTCCTGTCTCAACACGTGTAGTACTTCTTGAAGATGCTGCAGGTGTTCATCAGTAGACTTGCTAAAAATAAGAATATCATCGGAATAGACCACAACAAATTTTCCCAAAAAGGGTTTCAGAACTTGGGTCATGAACCTCATGAATGTCGATGGTGCATTCGACAATCCGAATGGCATGACTAGCCACTCATACATGACCCATCTCTTGTTTTGAATCTTTGTCTTCCATTCATCTTCGGGCTTGTTTTTGATTTGATGATATCCACTTTTCAAATCCAGCTTGAAAAGATGATTGCACCAGAGAGTTGATCCAAGAGGTCATCAAGGCGAGGAATAGGGAATCGATACTTGACGGTGATTTTTTTGATCGCCCTACTATCGACACACATCCTCCAAGTACCATTTTCTTAGGTACCAAGAGAGGCTGAACGGCACATGGACTAAGGCTTTCTCGGATAAAACCCTTAGTCAAGAGTTCGACAACTTTGTCGATGCAATTCTTCATGCTCAATTCGGACTCATCCGATAATGAGCCAAATTAGGTAGGGAAGCACCGGGCATCAAATCGATTTGGTCTTGAATGTCTCTCATAGGAGGAGACCGCGAGTAAGTCCGTCGGAAAACAACCTTGAATTCTTCCAAAAGTGGCCGAACTTCAAGAGGTATGGAAGAAGAAACTTCACCTGTTTGTGAAGTAAAACATATACAATACGAACCCCTTTTAAAGCACCTTTCATATCCTTCATCGAAAGCAGTGTAGGAGATGAAGACTTTTTGACAACAGGAGTTTTCAAAGGCTCCTTACTAGGTGCTAATATAATCTTCTTCCCTCCAAATTCAAAAGAATACGTATTTCGATAGCCATCATGAGTAGTCCGCCTATCGAATTGCCATGGTCGCCCAAGAATAACATGACTAGCATCCATTGGTAGAACATCGCACCATATCTTGTCAAAATAAACAGAACCAATGGATAGATTAACAAGGCAGCATTTGGAAACGGTTATCTCAGTGCCTTTCGATAGCCATGACATCTTATAAGGTGTTGGGTGCGCCTTTAACTCCAACTTTAGTTTGTTTGCTGCACTTTCAGAAATTATATTCTCACAACATCCAGAGTCAATAATCAATTGACATACCTTCCCCTTAATCGTGCAAGCAGAATGAAAAATGTTAGTTGAGCCACCCATCTCTGGTCTCATCACGAGGAACTAGAAAGATTTTTCTCACCATCAGAAATTCACCAGAATCAGCATGCACTATTTACTCGTCACCTGCGGACTCTTCGACATCATTCACCTCTTCCTCGAGCGGATCTTCCACATGCTCATCAGAATCGTTATCCACTAAGAAGGCTTTGCCGGCTTGTCGATTCTTGTTCTTTTGGCAATTGCTAGCACGATGACCCAACTCACCACAAGTATAGAAACGAATATCGGACGTAGTTGGTCGCTTCAAAATGTTGGACTGATTAGGAAACTTACTAGCGGTTTGCGTCGTAGCCTCAGCAACTTTGGTGGTGCCAGGGGTACTCCTAGCGGGTTGATTGGTCATGATAGAGGATTGTTGCCTCCTTGAGCGAGAACGCTCCACCTTGAGTGCTCGTTGGTGTGCATCTCCTAAGTGCCAAATGTCAAGGACTTCCAGGGCATCTTGAATATGAAGTTGAAGGCCATTCAAGTACTTGCTCACAAGCATCTCCTCCGGATCTTGAATGTTGTTGCGAATCACCAACTCATTGAATTCGTTGGTGTATTGGTCCACCGTTCGCGTACCTTGTCTCAGATTTTGGTATCGTTGATAGAGCTCTCTCTTGTATCCCTTAGGTAGGAAATACTTTCGGATCTTGTCTTCCATCTTCCTCCACGAGGTAATTGGCGCTTTGCCAACGGATTGGCGAGTTTGCTTCTCACGCCTCCACCAAGCGATGGCTTTACCTCTGAATCGCATAGCGATGATCCCGACTCGATGATCCTCCGGAACATTTCGATGCTCAAACACTTCATTAACAAGTGTTAGCCAATCAACAATTTCTTCAGGAGTGTCGCGACCGAACTCCCGAGCCCTTTTTTAAACGACAAGCAAAAAGGGAGGGGCTCGCCTGGTACGCGCTAAGTCTAGGTTCGGGACTTAACTCGGGCTCTCCCAAGCCCATACCATATCGCGACTTAGGGTTTAAGTTTTTAACATGCAAGTGGTTTATATCAAGGAGTCGCCACTAATCGATTTGGGGTAGGTCGATTAGAAACCCAAATAGGGTGATGGGAGAATCACCCTATTCCTACGAACCGAGATTAAATGAGTTCGGGGACTTGGTTACACTAGTTGGATAACTAATGCCCTTTCGGTACCATTTTACCTGTTCATTTCGAAAACATTTGTCGAGCAATTTGGATTAATTTTAGGACCTTTCTCCTAACATGTGAGGTGATCAAGCGAGTGCATAATCAGAAACGATCAGCAGTCAAGAACACAACAATTCATGCAGCCTAAGGTTCTAACCTTAACTAAGTCAGATGACATTCAAAAATACAACACTCATGTAATTGTATTAAAAATATGCATAACAATACAACGGTAATAAAAACTAACATGCAAAATACTACCGCGTAACCTCGGGCTTGTCTAATTTAAACAAGACAAAAACATGCATAATAATACAATAAATTAAAACACTTAGATATAACAAAAAAAAAAAAAAATTTAATTAATTTTTTTTTTTTTTCGAAAGAAAAAAATAATAATAATAATACAGAAGAAGGAAAAGAAAAAAAAAATTTAAAATTTAAAATTTTTTTTTTTAAAAATTTTTTAAAATTTTTTAAAATTTTTTTAAATTTTTTAATTTTTAAATAAAATAAAATAATAATATAATATTAACCGGGTCGGATCCGACTGGAATCAACGATCCGACCCGGGCGTTGACCGGTGGATCTGTGATCCGGCCTCAGTCGGATCCGAAGTCGGCGATCGGATCCGGTCCGATCGGAACCGACCGGATTCACGAAACCGACCCGAATTGATTAATTCGGGTCGGATAATTGGATCCGGTCGGGTCCGATTGACCCGAATCGATGAACCGGCCCGAACCGGCTTTTTGAACAGACGGACCGGTTCGGCTCGGTGTCCAAGCCTCAAACTCCGGCACTGACGTGGGACGTAATCCGGCGATTCGCCGGATGTTTCGTCCGAGCTACTGGCATCGTTCTCATCGGCTCATCGAGCCGAGGAGTGTTTGATGCCCGGTCGCCGGGAACCGGCCCGAATGATCGCGGCCAAGCCCCCGATCGGAACTCGTCAAACCGGACGCCGATCGAACTTCGGGGCCGACGTACCTGCACCACGATTCGGGTTCCTCCGGTCCCCGATGGTCTCCTCAACACTTACCCGAGTCGGTTGAGTCACCGTTCGGCCCCTACTCTCCGATGAAGCTCAAACACAAACCGAGCTCGTGAGACATTTTGACAAACGGTTGGCGGGCATGACAATAATAGAGGCATTTTGGCCTCTCCGGCGACTCGGTCCGCTCCGGCGGACGTGGCTCACTTTCGACGGCGAGTGGGGACCGGAACGACATCGGTATGGGCCGGGATTCGCACGAAACGGCCGGCGCGAGTCCCGCCCAACCACGCCGGAAAAACAGGGAAAACAGAGGCGGTTCTCTACGGGGCTCACCGGTCGACGCGCGTTGTTCAGGGGGTCTCCGACTCTCTGCGCAGGCGACGGTGGACGCCGCTGGTTCTCCTTCCCTGCTCCGGCGTGGCCTCGGTTTGCTCCCTCTCTCTCTCTATTCTCTCTCTTGTCTCTCTCGGTCTGCTCTCTCGTGTTTCGCCGGAAATGGCCGGCCTGGGCCGCTCCGGGGTTGCGGCCGGCTTGCCTTTGGTGACGACGAGGCCGCTGGGACCCGCAAGACCTCCGAGGCTCTCTCTCTTCTCGGTTCACGCTCTCACGCTCCTCCGTATTTTTCTCCAAAATGGCCGACGGGGACTCTCTCCGCTCAAATCGACCGAAAAACCGCCCCCCCTCTCCCTCTCTCGGGTCTGTATATTCGACGACGACGACGCCATTCTCTGCTCCATTCAATGCTCTGCACCGGCCTCTGCTCCTACCAAGACTTTCGCGGCCATTAGGCCGGTGCAGAGGAGGGGCCGATTCTGTGAGGACGCAGAGAGAGAAGGAGAGAGAGAGGAGCTCCGAGAGATAGGGAAGACGGGCCGCAGCCTTAATGGCGGTCCACGTGGCGTGTTCCCGGCCTCCTCGCCGGATGACGACGATGAGGAGCGGCGCCGCCGTGCGTCACGCCCGGTCGCGCACGGGGGGAGAAGGGGGAGGAGAGCGACCGGCGAGGAGAAGGAAGAGAGGAAGGGTTGGGCCGGGCCGGGCCCGTCCGCGCGGAGGAAAAAGGAAAGCATGGGCCGCGCGGGAGGAAAGAGAAAAAGAAAAAGGAAGAAAAGTAGGGTCGGCCCAAACGGCTGGCCCGAATCGATTTCGAATTTTTTTTTTTTTTTTTTTTTAAATTTTAAGAAAATATGCTCTAATAGGCCTTATTAATGCACATATGCCTAATGTCTATATGCAATGCATTTAAATAGAAATATTTTTTTGTTTTAGGAATTAAAGAAATTAACTCCTAAATTTTGCAATTAATTTTGGGCAAATTAAAAATAGGTGTCAACATTGCCCTCTTTGAAGGTGAGCTCGCAGAGATTGAGCTCAGAGAGGTTACGTTCAAAGATAAAATGGCACCTAAATTTGGCCCATGCATGCTCAATGAATGTTATTTTTAGCGAGACCGGATTCCCATTTTTATGATGCGATATAAGATGATGCATGCTAAAGCAAATAAAAACATACCTGGGGCTACTTACCTTGCCGAAGGGTAGAGTAATTCCAGATGGTTGATATTGTGTGTCGAGGACCCGAACCTGTCTTTCGGTCGCCTTGACGAAAAAATGGTTTGTCTAGGACCCGAACCTTTCTTCGGTCGCCTTGACGGGGATTGTTTTTGTCTAGGACCCGAACCTTTCTTGGTCGCCTTTGATCGGGAAATCGTCTGTCTAGGACCGGACCTTTCTTCGGTCGCCTTGATCGACGGATTTTGTTTGTCAAAGTACACAGGGGTCGTCGCCCAGGGTTTGACGGTTTGCCTGGTGGGTCCTCGCCGGCAGGTCTTGAAAAGGCTCAAACGATGAGCACTGGGGTCCTCGCCGAGGATTTGTTGGTTTGCTGGTGGGTCCTCGCCGACGGGTCTTGAAAAGGCTCAAACGATGAGCACCGGGGTCTCGCCCTAGATTTGTTGTGAACATGGGGGTCGGCCCCATGCTCGGAGGGTGAACAACGGGGTCAATCCGATGTTCGGAGGGTGAACAACGGGGTCAATCCGATGTTCAATTGGTGAACAACGGGGTCACTCCGATGTTCGAGAGGGTGAACAACGGGGTCAATCCGATGTTCGGAGGGTGAACAACGGGGTCACTCCGATGTTCGGAGGGTGAACAACGGGGTCAATCCGATGTTCAATTGGTGAACAACGGGGTCACTCCGATGTTCAGAGGGTGAACAACGGGGTCAATCCGATGTTCAGAGGGTACCGTAACAATCGTAGGTACATAGATTTTTGGAATCGGGCATGGGTAGAATATACTTACCTGGGCACGTTCCTGCCTCTTAAGGGCGTGTCTCCTGTCAGACAAGTTTTTTTGTGCAAAGACATACGTATTCATCGGAGAAATAGACAACTGAGGCTATTCTTGAATATCGTATGAAATATCTTGACCAGCTAGTCAAGATGCTTTTCTTTTTCAAAGGAGCACCCAATTTACCTTCTGGGTAGTTTGAAAAGAAATCGATGAAATACCCGGGATTTCTTACCCGGAGGTTTGATGTATCATCTGCTGAATACCCGACCTTTTTCAGGGCATCTCTTTTGTGATGATAATGAGGGCTTTTCAGTGCCCGAATTTTCATGTTCTATATGGGGATTAGAACTCGAGCCGCAAAAGCATCTTTGTGTCAATTCCACTTGGGAACAGAAAAAATTTTGTGACATCTTTGGAGACGCTCCAAAGGTCATATGTTCTTTGAGTCTTTGAAGATATTTTACCTGTCAAAGAGAGTTAAAGCAAACATGCATGCATTCATCAAGGATAGACAAGCTATGCTATTCCGTAATGCGCATTTGAAAGTTCATGCATGATAATTTTGCCATGCTCATCACCAAACATCCACCGAGGGTAAATCAAGACAATTTTCGCTTGGGAGGTGGACTTCTCGAGATCTTGAACGAGGATTCTCGTCAAAAAGGACTTTCCACTCGCTCTCATTGAAAAGGGCTATTTGTCCCATCCATTAATGCGGGAACATCGAAAACACTCAATCTGACCACTATCACATCCGTAAGGGTCTGAGTTTTCTCGCAAGCGGTACGACGCTGCCAATCTGAGAGGTCTTCTTCGTGGTCGTAATGTAGGCTTGGTCAATGGCTTAACGAAGGAGACCGTCCGAGTCAAGGCCATGAAAGAAAATATTTCGCAATCATCTCCGGGTTTACAAGTCAAGAACCTGCAAAACGAGATAGAAATAGTCTTGCTCGCACTTCCTCGAGCGTTGTTTATAAACATTTGAAATTCCACGTTAAATCAAATGCCCTAATCGAAGAGACTTCATGAGGGACGTAACGTGGGCTCGGTTCACTGAGTTGAGAAACGAAAGGATCGTTAGGCTCAAAAATGTGTGTAAGGGTGAGAGTTGGTGATCATCTTGGCATTGTCACCTGTCTTTTTCTTCATCATCAGGATCCTCTTGGACAACTCCCTGGGTAATCCCGTGTTTTAGCATCTTTGACAACATTTTCTTGAGGAGCTTATGCGTCAAGCATTTTCCTGTATACCATTCTATCATGTGACAGATCTTTGTCAAGACAGAGTTCCTAAAGTAGGAATTTGTATCGA